ACGTCCTCTTTACACGGGGTAAGGATGAACTACACAGTCAGGTCGTCCTCTGTATACAGGGTAAGGATAAACTACGAAGTCAGGTCGTTCTCTGTATACAGGGTAAGGATAAACAACACAGTCAGGTCGTTCTCTGTACACAGGGTTAGGATACACTACACAGTCAGGACGTCCTCTGTACACAGGGTAATGATAAACAACACAGTCAGGTCGTTCTCTGTACACAGGGTAAGGATAAACTACACAGTCAGGACGTTCTCTGTACACACGGTAAGGATAAACTACACAGTCAGGTCGTCCTCTGTACACAGGTAAAGGATAAATTACACAGTCAGGACGTCCTCTGTACACAGGGAAAGGATAAACTACATAGTCAGGACGCTCTCTGTACACAGGGAAAGGATAAACTACATAGTCAGGACGCTCTCTGTACACAGGAAACGATAAACTACACAGTCAGGACGTCCTCTGTATACAGGGTAAGGATAAACTACACAGTCAGGAGGTTCTCTGTACACAGGGAAAGGATAAACCACACAGTCACGACGCTCTCTGTACACAGGGAAAGGATAAACTACATAGTCAGGACGCTCTCTGTACACAGGGAAACGATAAACTACACAGTCAGGACGTCCTCTGTATACAGGGTAAGGATAAACTACACAGTCAGGAGGTTTTCTGTACACAGGGAAAGGATAAACTACACAGTCAGGACGTTCTCTGTACAAAGGGAAAGGATAAACTACACAGTCAGGACGCTATCTGTACACAGGGAAAGGATAAACTACACACTCAGGACGTCCTCTGTACACAAGGAAAGGATAAACTATACAGTCAGGACGTCCACTGTACACAGGGAAAGGATAAACTACACAGTCAGGACGCTTTCTGTAGACAGGGAAAATATAAACTACACAGTCAGGACGTTCTCTGTACACAGGGTAAGGATAAACTACACAGTCAGGACGTTCTCTGTACACAGGGTAAGGATACACTACACATTCAGGACGTCCTCTGTACACAGGGAAAGGATAAACTACACAGTCAGAACGCTCTCTGTACACAGGGAAAGGATAAACTACACAGTCAGGACGCTCTCTGTACACAGGGTAAGGATAAACTACACAGTCAGGACGTCCTCTGTACACAGGGTAAGGATACACTACACAGTCAGGACGTCCACAGTCTGCACACAGGGTAAGGATAAACTACACAGTCAGGTCGTCCTCTGTATACAAAGGGTAAGGATAAACTACACAGTCAGGACGTTCTCTGTACACAGGGTAAGGATAAACTACACAGTCAGGACGTTCTCTGTAACAGGTAAACAAACACAGTCAGGACGTTCTCTGTACACAGGGTTAGGATACACTACACAGTCAGGACGTCCTCTGTACACAGGGTAAGGATAAACTACACAGTCAGGACGTTCTCTGTACACAGGGTAAGGATAAACTACACAGTCAGGACGTTCTGTACACAGGGTAAGGATAAACTACACAGTCAGGACGTTCTCTGTACACAGGGTAAGGATAAACTACACAGTCAGGACGTCCTCTGTACACAGGGTAAGGATAAACTACACAGTCAGGACGTCCTCTGTACACAGGGAAAGGATAAACTACACAGTCAGGACGCTCTCTGTACACAGGGAAAGGATAAACTACACAGTCAGGACGTCCTCTGTACACAGGGTAAGGATAAACTACACAGTCAGGAGGTTCTCTGTACACAGGGAAAGGATAAACTACACAGTCAGGACGTCCTCTGTACACAGGGAAAGGATAAACTACACAGTCAGGACGTCTCTCTGTACACAGGGTAAGGATAAACTACACAGTCAGGACGTCCTCTGTATACAGGGTAAGGATAAACTACACAGTCAGGACGTTCTCTGTACACAGGGGAAAGGATAAACTACACAGTCAGGACGTTCTCTGTACACAAGGAAAGGATAAACTACACAGTCAGGACGCTCTCTGTACACAGGGTAAAGGATAAACTACACAGTCAGGACGTCCTCTGTACATAGGGAAAGGATAAACTACACAGTCAGGACGTCCTCTGTACACAGGAAAGGATAAACTACACAGTCAGGACGTTCTCTCTGTACACAGGGAAAATATAAACTACACAGTCAGGACGTTCTCTGTACACAGGGTAAGGATAAACTACACAGTCAGGACGTTCTCTGTACACAGGGTAAGGATACTACTACACAGTCAGGACGTCCTCTCTGTACACAGGGGAAAGGATAAACTACACAGTCAGGACGCTCTCTGTACACAGGGAAAGGATAAACTACACAGTCAGGGACGCTCTCTGTACACAGGGTAAGGATAAACTACACAGTCAGGACGTCCTCTGTACACAGGGAAAGGATACACTACACAGTCAGGACGTCCTCTGTACACAGGGGTAAGGATAAACTACACAGTCAGGACGTCCTCTGTATACAGGGGTAAGGATAAACTACACAGTCAGGACGTCCCTCTCTGTATACAGGGTAAGGATAAACTACACAGTCAGGACGTTCTCTGTACACAGGGGTAAGGATAAACTACACAGCCAGGACGTTCTCTGTACACAGGGTAAGGATAAACTACACAGTCAGGACGTTCTCTGTATACAGGGTAAGGATAAACTACACAGTCAGGACGTTCTCTCTGTACACAGGTAAGGATAAACTACACAGTCAGGACGTTCTCTGTACACAGGGGTAAGGATAAACTACACAGTCAGGACGTCCTCTGTACACAGGGTAAGGGATAAACTACACAGTCAGGACGTTCTCTGTACACAGGGTAAGGATAAACTACACAGTCAGGACGTTCTCTGTACACAGGGTAAGGATAAACTACACAGTCAGGACGTCTCTCTCTGGGGAAAGGATACACACAGTCAGGACGTTCTCTGTAAGGATAAACTACACAGTCAGGACGTCCTCTGTACACAGGGAAAGGATAAACTACAGTCAGGACGTCCTCTGTACACAGGGAAAGGATAAACTACACAGTCAGGACGTCAGGACGTCCTCTGTACACAGGGTAAGGATAAACTACACAGTCAGGACGTCCTCTCTGTACACAGGGGTAAGGATAAACTACACAGTCAGGACGTTCTCCTCTGTACACAGGGTAAAGGATAAACTCTACACAGGGAAAGGATAAACTACACAGTCAGGACGTTCTCTGTACACAGGAAAGGATAAACTACACAGTCAGGACGTCCCTCTGTACACAGGAAAGGATAAACTACACAGTCAGGACGTTCTCTCTGTACACAGGGACGTCCTCTGTAAGGAAAGGATAAACTACACAGTCAGGACGTTCTCTGTACACACAGGGAAAGGATAAACTACACAGTCAGGACGTTCTCTGTACACAGGAAAAGGATAAACTACACAGTCAGGACGTTCTCTGTACACAGGGTAAAGGATAAACTACACAGTCAGGACGTTCTCTGTACACAGGGTAAGGATAAACTACACAGTCAGGACGTTCTCTGTACATAAAACTACACAGAGTCAGGACGTCCCTCTGTACAGGGACGTCCTCTGTACACAGGATAAACTACACAGTCAGGACGCTCTCTGTACACAGGGAAAGGATAAACTACACAGTCAGGACGCTCTCTGTACACAGGGTAAGGATAAACTACACAGTCAGGACGTTCTCTGTACACAGGGTAAGGATACACTACACAGTCAGGACGTCCTCTCTACACGGGGTAAGGATGAACTACACAGTCAGGTCGTCCTCTGTATACAGGGTAAGGATAAACTACACAGTCAGGTCGTTCTCTGTATACAGGGTAAGGATAAACTACACAGTCAGGACGTTCTCTGTATACAAGGTAAGGATAAACTACACAGTCAGGTCGTTCTCTGTATACAAGGTAAGGATAAACTACACAATCAGGTCGTTCTCTGTATACAGGGCAAGGTTAAACTACACTATCAGGACGTTCTCTGTATACAGGGTAAGGATAAACTACACAGTCAGGACGTTCTCTGTACACAAGGTAAGGATAAACTACACAGTCAGGACGTTCTCTGTATACAAGGTAAGGATAAACTACACAGTCAGGTCGTTGTCTGTATACAGGGTAAGGATAACCTACACAGTCAGGACGTTCTCTGTATACAGGGTAAGGATAAACTACACAGTCAGGACGTTCTCTGTACACAGGGTAAGGATAAACTACACAGTCAGGACGTCCTCTGTACACAGGGTAAGGATAGACTACACAGTCAGGACGTTCTCTGTACACAGGGTAAGGATAAACTACACAGCCAGGACGTTCTCTGTACACAGGGTAAGGATAAACTACACTGTCAGGACGTTCTCTGTACACAGGGTAAGGATAAACTACACAGTCAGGACGTTCTCTGTACACAAAGTAAGGATAAACTACACAGTCAGGACGTCCTCTGTACACGGGGTAAGGATAGACTACACAGTCAGGACGTTCTCTGTACACAGGGTAAGGATAAACTACACAGTCAGGACGTTCTCTGTACACAGGGTAAGGATAAACTACACAGTCAGGACGTTCTCTGTACACAGGGTAAGGATAAACTACACAGCCAGGACGTTCTCTGTACACTGGGTAACGACAAACTACACAGTCAGGACGTTCTCTGTACACAGTCAGGACGTTCTACACAGGAAAGGATGAACTACACAGTCAGGACGTCCTCTGTACACAGGGTAAGGATAAACTACACAGTCAGGACGTTCTCTGTACACAGGGTAAGGATAAACTACACAGCCAGGACGTTCTCTGTACACTGGGTAAGGACAAACTACACAGTCAGGACGTTCTCTGTATACAGGGTAAGGATGAACTACACAGTCAGGACGTCCTCTGTACACAGGGTAAGGGCAATTTCTCTCGAGATTTCATAACAATACAAAGTGTATTGCTGATTGTTATTCTGTCCATCAATGACAGTTTTTAATGATAAAATTAAATGAATACACTCATTTGTTTTACAGGAGGCGGAGTTACCTCGGAGACTGAAGCAGTACCACTTCACAGCGTGGCCAGACAGAGGAGTGCCAGAAGATGTCGGGACGCTGGTGGACTTCCACAGACTGGTCAAGAACGCCCCGTCAACTGGGAAAGGCCCAGTGGTTGTCCATTGCAGGTACCAGTACTGTGATTACCTTCATCGAGGGTACATGTTATATATTGTAAAATAGTGGGTCAGGGATTAACCAATTGCCTTTCTGTACTGTCATGTTTCGCGTTGTACCTATATCGGGAAGTGAACCGAGGTCTTCGGCACAACGAGCCAAGGCTTTAACCATTTGATTACTTGATGAAAGCTGAATTCGTTGTGAGTGTGATCTTGGCCTGTATGTGTACATGTTATTGGTCAGTGTAGTATTTGTTTCATGGTTTGGGAATTACTTGTGTTCGTGGAGTTCATATTGTTGTATTTGACAGTGCTGGTGTCGGTCGGACTGGGACCTGGATCGCTCTGGACTATTTGATCCAACAAGCTAAGGCGGAAGGTGTGGTGGATGTCTTTGAGTGCATTGTCAGGCTCCGGCATCAGCGCATGGATCTCATTCAGACCGAGGTGAGATGTCATGGAGTCTGTACTAGCTGAAATACATAATTTCAAGTTTGACAACGACTTTTATCAAGGTATGAAACTCCCAAAAATTTCAGCCAGACCACAGGGCTGGTTAGATGTAAAACTTGCCAGTAGAGAACCAAAACCTACCTGCCCACACAAAATACTATTTTACTTAGTATGATTAAATTAAAATTTGTAAAATATTGAAAGAACTAATACCAGTGCAAGAAAAGAATTAACTGTTAATTCAGATTTGTGTTTTAATACATGTTTGCTTAAATACATGTTATCACTTCATCATGTTTTATTATCCTGAAATATGATGAATATTTTCATATACATGTCTAAATTTTAACCCGACCGTCGGGCAGGTGAATTTGAGAATCTGGCAGTCCCTGTTGAAAATAACCTGACCTGGGCGGTCGGGCAGGCAGGTATTTCGAACGCTGCTTTTATATTGCTTATTTCGACGTACATATTTCATTTGTGTTTTCACATGTTACACCATGTGATAATGTTGAATTCCGTAAGCAATAAACTGTGTTTTCACATGTTACACCATGTGATAATGTTGAATTCCGCCAGCATTAAACTGTGTTTTCGTTCACTAGGAGCAGTACCTATTTCTCCATGAGGCCCTAATGGAGGCTCTCCCGTCTTGTGACAGAATGAGGCCCAGTCTCGTCCACAACGGTACTGGTGATTACGAAAACGTGGAGGTGATTATATTTTATAGGATTATGATTACCAAATCTAGAATGTACAATATAACGTTTTTCCACATCCCAATTCCTTCCCTGGTATTCAGTAGTTGCGCTGGTTATATATTCTACTGCAAACCGGCATGCTGTACATCGTCTTTTCTCACATATTTGAACGATAGGTATGTTTTATAGAAATTTCGTGAGCCGGCAAAGAACCCATTTTCGGATCACAGCGTCGTAATTCACCATGGCAACGACCAAATATCAGAAGTTCCCAGACGTTTCTAACCATCCCAGGTTTGTTTGTGCTTTTGACCTGTTATACCCATAATCCACTGTGGGTACGACCGACATTGTTCAATGGGGGCCTATTCTAACCCATAATCCACTGTGGGTACGACCGGCATTGTTTACTGGGGATCTATTCTAACCCAGGTTCCACTGTGGGTACGACCGACATTGTTTACTGGGGGCCTATTCTAACCCGGGATCCACTGTGGGTACGACCGACATTGTTTACTGGGGGCCTATTCTAACCCAGGTTCCACTGTGGGTACGACCGACATTGTTTACTGGGGGCCTATTCTAACCCAGGTTCCACTGTCGTTACGACCGACATTGTTTACTGGGGGCCTATTCTAACCCGGGATCCACTGTGGGTACGACCGACATTGTTTACTGGGGGCCTATTCTGACCCAGGTTCCACTGTGGGTACGACCGACATTGTTTACTGGGGGCCTATTCTGACCCAGGTTCCACTGTGGGTACGACCGACATTGTTTACTGGGGGCCTATTCTAACCCGGGATCCACTGTGGGTACGACCGACATTGTTTACTGGGGGCCTATTCTAAATCAGGATCCACTGTGGGTACGACCGACATTGTTTACTGGGGGCCTATTCTAACCCGTGATCCACTGTGGATACGGCCGACATTGTTTACTGATGGCATATTCTAACCCGGGATCCACTGTGGATACGGCCGACATTGCTAACTGAGGGTCTATTCTAACCCGACATCCACTGTGTACGACCAACATTGTTTACTGGGGGCCTATTCTAACCCAGGATCCACTGTGTATACGATGGACATCATTTACTGGGGCCTATTCTAACCCGTGATCCACTGTGGATACGGCCGACATTGTTTGCTGACGGGCTATTCTAATCCGTGATCCACTGTGGAAACGGCCAACATTGTTTGCTGAGGGCCTATTCTAACCCGGGATCCACTGTGGATACGGCCGACATTGTTTGCTGAGGGCCTATTCTAACCCGGGATCCACTGTGGATACGACCGACATTGCTTACTGAGGGTCTATTTTAACGCGGGATCCACTGTGGATACGGCCGACATTGTTCACTGGGGGCCTATTCTAACCCGGGATCCACTGTGTATATGACCGACATTGTTTACTGAGGGTCTATTCTAACCCAGGATCCACTGTGGATACGACCGACATTGTTTACTGGGTCCTATTCTAACCCGGGATCCACTGTGGATACGACCGACATTGTTTACTGGGTCCAATTCTAACCCGGATCCACTGTGGATACAGCCGACATTGTTTACTGGGGGTCTATTCTAACCCGGGATCCACTGTGGATACAACCGACATTGTTTACCGCGGGCCTTTTCTAACCCGGGATCCACTGTGGATACGACCGACATTGTTTACTGGGGGTCTATTCTAACCCGTGATCCACTGTGGATGCCACCAACATTGTTTACTGGGGGCCTATTCTAACCTGGGATCCACTGTGATACGACCGACATTGTTTACTGAGGGCCTATTCTAACCCGGGATCCACTGTGATACGACCGACATTGTTTACTGAGGGTCTATTCTAACCCAGGATCCACTGTGTATATGACCGACATTGTTTACTGAGGGTCTATTCGAACCCAGGATCCAATGTGTATACGACCGACATTGTTTACTGGGGGCCTATTCTAACCCGGGATCCACTGTGGATACCACCGACATTGTTTACTGTAGGCCTATTCTAACCCGGGATCCACTGTGATACGACCGACATTGTTTACTGAGGGTCTATTCTAACCCAGGATCCACTGTGTATATGACCGACATTGTTTACTGAGGGTCTATTCTAATCCAGGATCCACTGACACGACCGACATTGTTTACTGAGGGTCTATTCTAACCCAGGATCCACTGTGTATACGACCGACATTGTTTACTGAGGGTCTATTCTAACCCAGGATCCACTGTGTATACGACCGACATTGTTTACTGGGGCCTATTCTAACCTGGGATCCACTGTGGATACGACCGACATTGTTTACTGGGGGTCTATTCTAACCCAGGATCCACTGTGGATACGACCGAGAAGCATTACTGGGGGCCTATTCTAACCCAGATCCACTGTGGATACCACATGGGTACCCGCAGAATCCACCGGGTACCCGCAGCAAAGGTTCCTTGGATTCTGTTCAGTCAGCAGGGTGCAGTCAGCTGAGGATGTTCATGACCTATTTTAACTCGGACTCTACTTCAAAGAACCTCAGGGGCGGTGGAGTAGCCTTGTGGTTAAAGCGTTCGCTCGAGCTCGTCACGCCGAAGACCCGGGTTCGATTCCCCACGTAGGCACAATGTGTGAAGCCCATTTCTGGTGTCCCCCGCCGTGATATTGCTGGAATATTGCTTAAAGCGGCGTAAAACTAAAGTCAGTCACTCACTCACTCAAAGTACATCCACCATCACGTCCTGCGCTGGTGTGAAGAATGTTTTCACCATGCATGTCTGGCACGGGTATATTTTGGAAGCTAGACACCTGCCCCTGCTACGTCAGCATTATTCTCACTGACCTAATCTCTATTATCACTACCGAACTCCCACTAAAATGGTTCTGCCATTATATTTGTAAGTTTAGTCTACCATCTACTGCCAGTGCAGTAACCTGTATTCTTCTGTAACCTTGTTATTGATACCATTTCTTTCGTGTTTGTTGGTTTCAAACTGATTGGTTTTATACATAGTAATAATCAAAAATAACAACACACCAATCATATTTTACTGTTAGGTTGTGTTGAATATAAAGGGGTATTTTCAGACGAGGATAACATTGCTACGAGCCTCAAGCAAAATAAAGAGACAGCATTACGCCCTGCAATCAGTACAATCTGCATGTGATCAATATACTTCGCAATATGATCAGTCTTATATTTCATAACTATGTTGTCATTTCTGTACAGGCTCAGTTGACCTTGAACCAGTGAACATTTCAAGAACCGTGTCAGGACTGTCAGCACCTGAAGACAAAGTTCCGTGTGTCAGCACAATCGCATCAAGACATAGTTCCATCAACATCGAAGTTCTTCATTATTGGGGGGTGGGGTAGCCTAGTGGTTAAAGCGTTCGCTCGTCACGCCGAAGACCTGGGTTCGTTTCCCCACAAGGGTAAGCGTGTGAAGCCCATTTCTGGTGTCCCCCCGCCGTGATATTGCTGGAATATTGCTGAAAGCGGCGTAAAACCATACTCACTCACTCTTCTCTATTGTTGTAATTATTTATAACATAATTGTCAATGTGTGCGTTACTATGTGACGTAAACATTCTCAACTGAATTAATGCAATCATTACGCTCATACCATTTACAAAAATCGAAAACGTGTGACGAGAAACACTGACCATCCTCGTCCACTACAACCCTCATCACCACCGCCACCCTTAATGCCGTATCTTTTTTATCTTTCCTGTTAAAAGCCTGTTTAACAGGAACATTTATATGAGGGCGGTATATAAATAACCGAGTATGGGTGAGACAATCACGTGATTGACATCATGAGCATCGATCTGCTAACTTGGATTATCGAGCCTGTGCACACGATCCCGTTAGTCGCCTCATATAAATTACAGCCAGGATTGTCACGGGAGCAAATAGTTTGTGATATCAACATCACATAAAAAAAAAAGAAGAAAAAAAAAGTACAAAATAAAAAAAACACAAAAAAACAAAAAACAAAACAAAAAACATCACATAAAGAACATCATGTATGGGTCTCGAAAAAATCATTTATATTCACAGTATGGTTAAGTTACTCGAGGTAAACGTGTCAGTAGAAACATTTCCTGTGACACTTCACCGAACTGAATGTTATTTAAATATTTCCTGGTCAAAGATATCTAAGGAATGAAACAGTTTTGTTCAAACAGTACATATATACATATCAATAGTACCCTATGATTCACCATCAGTAGGGTATCGGTATCGGTTTTACTTGTTATGCTTGAAATAAAATAGAACTACAGGGAAATTGTGTATTCTCATGGTAAAATGTGAAATTTAAAATAATATTTTCTTGTTGCCAGTTCATAAAATTATCCGATATATAATGCCCATTTATTGTGCATATGAAACACTAAGTGATAATTTCTCCGACAATATAGTATCAAGGGATATACTTGACTAGATCAGTACACAAGTACTGACCCTTTTACCCTTAGCCTATCCTTGTCTACAAAATAACAGTAAATTATGGTGTACGGATGAACAGAACTGTCATAAACAATGACTTGGAAGCACGACAAAGACCTTTCCATGATCCAACAACATCTCATTTTAAACGAGATTTCATTGTACGATTCCGACTGTGTTAAAGCCATATGTTTATGAACCATTAGTAAATAGCTATAGCTATGACACCATGGGTTCGCGAAAAGAAAACAAGAGACGTAGGTAATCTCTAAAATCTGGATGAAAAGAGCGTGTTCGAGAGTACCTCAAACATTTTGAAATGCAGTAAACACGAAATATGTTTGAATATTGTTCGGAAATAGGGACAGTTGAATCAAATCGTATTTGTACTCGTCATATTATCACTCCGAGCCTTTGTGCATAGAACCTAGTCTGTCTCACAGTCCCTGAACCACATTAATTTCCCTACTGCCAAGCCCTCTCTGCAGTGCTAAAGCCCTAAATAAAGCAAGTCTAGATTTCCTCAGGTTCTGAATCTCTGGTCTCCCTAGGGCTCCTTTTCAATATAAATGGGCTTGTTTGTTACTATCAAAATTATATATATTCAGAGACTAAGCCTTAGTCTACATAGAACCACATATAAAACTTTCATAGGCTTTAGCGTCTCATGAAGTTGCCAACCCATGACAGATATTGTAGGAAGCTAGAATGTTTTTCGTAATGTTAATTAATATTATATGTGTACATACTTCATGTCATGCAAATTAATACGATCATGTAGATACATGTCAATATTATAATAAATTTTATTTGTATATATTTACGTTCTTTTAACAATAACCACTTTGATGTCGAACTGTACATATAAGGTATACACATAGAAAAAGGTATCGCAACATTTATAATACATATAGCCATTTATATTCATATCATTATTATATTTGCTTGTATGATTATTTTTACCGTTAGGACGCACCATGCATTGATTTTAGATATGCACTTGCTAGCATCACATGCAGTGTGCATACCCGTCATGAAGCAAATATTAAATTTCAGTAAACTGTTCTTACGGCATGGTAACTTGGAAAATCAATTAATATTCGATGTTGATAAGCAACTGCGGGGCCTTCTCAGATGACACATGCTTCCAAGTTATCGGTATCCGGAAAGCTGGCGTGTCACTGAAGGCTACTGCATGATATGTTGGTTGGCATCCATCGACTATCAGCCATTGGCCAGAAAGCATCAGCAAGCTCATGACGTTAAGGGCCTAGCGTTCAGGTCGACCACGAGTGACAACTCTTCCTTCAGCATCATAAGACGTCATCCGTTAATGTCAATGGGCGTCATGGGGAAGGGTCCAATGGGAGGACGGGAATCGACTATTTGTGATCATGACTCATGGTTATGTTTGCTTCCCTAAATAAACTTCTTTCATTTTGCGCTTTAATTGCCATTGAAATATTCATTGAGGTTCAGTTTATCCAGATAGTAAGTTTGGATAAGCTCATGTAGCTATGGTTAATGGTAACATATTGATACTATGAGATATATGTATTGCGGTACTTATTTTCATGTGTATACAATCAACGTGCACGAGGGGTAGGCTGCTTCAGGTCACCCAGCTATTATATAGTCTCTGATGGGATTCAAGAAGACTAAAAATTGATGTCAATAAAGGTATCATTTTGCATAATTTTCAGGCATTTTATGCGACTGCTTGTATATATTCTTCCTTTAGTACATTTTGTATATATATTCATGGAAGGGAATTTTCTCAGTTGCCAGGTGCATACCGGATCCCATTTGTGAGGTGTCAACAATATATACAGCAGATTGCTATCTAACATATGTTCTTAAACCTAGGGTCCAAAATGTGGCGCCAAGACACGATATAAGTTGATTATACATTAACCTATTGGAAGAGAAACAAATATTTAAAGCAAGATTTCACACTCCATCAAAATATATACTTCCCATCAAAAGTTTAGACTCACATAAAACACTCACTATATGTTATGTGTATATATATATATATAGGGTTACATCGAAGATTAATTTCTCCACTAACTTGGGGGGACCAACTACACAAACCTTATGCAGATAAATTGCACGAGGATCATGCATCTAATTGCTGAAAAATGTGCAAATACCATGCACGTGAAAAGCTGCGTTTTGGTGTAAAGTTTTGTTAAGAATTCGCCAATTTTCACTGATTTTTATCATTTATTAAACTCATGACAATAATCTTTTCAACGTTACGAATGTGTTTTACAACACATCAGTTCATGTGTAAACAGTACCTTTAAACAGTATGGAATATTTTGCAAAATTTAGTTTAGAACAGTTGCCTGAAGTAAGTGACTATATTGACACTAGTGAGTCTAAACTTTTGATGGGAAGTACATGTTTTCGATTAAAAAGTATCTCGTCCGTCTATCGTCACGCTGGGAATGGGATCAACGATGCGAAGAACGAATATTTAAATTGTGTTCTCACTTAGTATGATGAATTATGTTGATTTTATTCATAAACTGGGTGGAAACAGAAACTGTTTCATGTGAAGCGGAGATCGCGGAGACGAGAGATATGGGGAGGTCCTGTTTCAGTATTGGGGCATGCATGGCTCATCAAGTTCAGCTGGGTACAGTTCAACTACAACATAGCAATTTGAGTAAATAGGGCATGTGACAGTCCTTTATTTTGTTATACGTGGATCATTACTGAAATGTCATTGTGTGAAACATGACCCCTGCTCTTAAAATACATACGTTAGTTATTTGTACATACATTTTATCGTTCATAATTTTGCTTTTATTTCTCCATTTTGTTGAGTTTATTATTTTTGTTCTACTTTTCACACACAACATTGCCTGACCCTGTTTTAGTCTTCGGGGCTCTGTTAAGGTTTCTGGTTTCGGATCAATGTCGTTAAACGCAAGGCTATCTGTGAATAATTGCACTCTTATTAAATATATTCTGATTTCCTAGGAATTGTCTGTATAGTTTATTAATTGGGAAATGTTTGCACTTCTTTATGGTTGAAGAAGTATCTATCTTTTAAATTTAATAACAAAACTGATGACCTTTAAAGGCAACTTACCGTATCATAATTTTATCGTGCGTTTTGTCATCTTTGTTATGGATTAAATGTATCAATATATACAGAAACCTTTGGTCAGATCGTCGTTTGTTTAGTTCACTTACACATATGACTCAGGATCAGTATAACATTTGTTATGTCTTGAGTCAGTGGTCTGTGTTACAGACCCGCCAAGACTTGATTAATAAGGTAATGGTACAGTTGTATCACGGTAACTTGTAAATAATCGAGCAGAGGCGATCCACACCATCGCTACACGGTAGCACACAGTCTGCTAGATTACACGCCGTTGCGTTACGGTGACACACAGGTGGCTAATGCTAGGGTTCACTATGTCCCCGGCGGTCACGGCAGGCCGGTTCACCGAAACGGGGACAAAGCGGGATCAACGTGAGACAACGTGGCGGTACGGAATGAGCAAACGTGTCGGTCCGTGGTTGCGGTGGATGCTGTGCCAGATTTTTAAACTGTTCACAAATTTGCCACGGCAGTCACGGTACTAATGAGAAACCTAGTAGGCCATAGTAAAACGGGGGGAACGCAACAAAACGTGACAGCACGTAATAGGCCGTAACAAAACTTGTAGACGGTCCGTAGTGGGTCCGTAGTGGGACAGGAGGCATGTGTATTCCCCAGCATCTCACGGTCCTTTAAAGTTTTGGCACGTTTGGCCACGTTTGTGTGGCGTTTTGTAACGTTGTTTCACCCTTGGTGCCCGTTTTGTCCCGGTTCTCACGGCAAGCTATGTTGTGTGGTAGCCGATTCGTCCCGTTCTTTCACGGCGCATCCACGCGTGTGACGGTT